TTTTTTTTTTTTTTTTTTTTTTTTTTTTTTGGCCCCGAGTTCATTCTGGTGGCTGCGAAAAGACTAAATTGTAGTTCTGCAAAAGTAGACGTAAAAACCCGTGTGATATTGCAGAAACTTCAGGTGAGAGATGACAATGTCAGGACTGGGGTAGTGGCATCTCTGTTCCCATTGCCCGTACCCTAGTTTAAATCATTACTTTTTATGTGGACCACTGCGGCACTCTCACTACCTCTAGTCTTTCAATAGCTAATCTTTACACCACTCTTGTAGAAATCTTTTTTTTTTTTTAAGATTTCTGTTTAAATGTCTACTCATTTGCCACAGCTTGAAGTCTGTTCCCTTTAGCCTGGCATTCACAACCCTTCATGATCCAGCCTCTTCAGCTAAACTAGACTAGAAATGTTCTCCTTTATGTTTTTGCTTATGCTATTGATTCTAGTCAGTGTGCCCTCCCCTGGCTCCCATCCTCACCAAGTAAAATCCTGTCCATCCAGTAAAACCATCTCAAATGCCACTGAATAGGAATTCTAGTTGCCATTTATTAAGTACTTAATTCTTAGTTATTAAGCAATCTAAGCCTTCTACATTCATTACCTGACTTTGATGCATTGCATACTGTTTCTTGTGAATTTATGTCATCTCTACAAGAATGCAAATTCCCTGAGAGCAGAAATGAGATTGTAGTTCATCTTGAGAATTGAATCCTTTGCTGTTCTATACATTTAGTTGCCGTCAGATAAATGTTTGGTGAATGACTGAATGATTGCAGAACTTTGAACCAGTTGCTATAGGAAGATCTAAAAGAAGCATAAGGGCTTATATTCTAGTTAAAGAAGACATCACAGGTCTGGGGGGGGGGGGGTTGGATTTTCCAGAATACTAAGCATTCAGGGAATACTAAATGGAGGATTGAACAAAGTTAGATTTAACAAAGTAATGCTACAGGAATGAAGTTTACATAGTAAAGGGAATGTTCAACGGCTTCAGTGTCAGGCAGACCTGGTTTTGAATTCCTGCTTTTCTGCTTAATAGGTGTGTGACACTGAACAGCCATTTGCTCTCTTTCTAAACTGCATCTGTAAAATGGGCATATTACAATATCCTTCATAGGACTTTTGCAAAGATTAAATGAGATAATATATCCAAGTGCATATCAGAGTGCTCAAGGAATGTTTAAAAAGTAAAAAATGGTGAGCTAGTTTTTAAAGGAAGTAAGAATGTTGGATTGTCTGAGGGGTGTTAGCAGGTCACTTCAGGTTGAGATGAGAGGTAGGGGGACTTGGGAATTGGCCAGCTTACATCATATCATAGGGGCTGCCAGGAGCCTGGAAATAACTGATGATAATTCTAAAAGTGCTTCAGGATATTATGTAATGTGAAGTCTCACACTACATAAATTATTTCAGTAACCCTTGTATAGTTCCAGAAGCAAAAGGAGGGAGGGAAGGGGAACTGCAGTTTGCAAACATCACTGAAAGTATGTGCTCACCCCCTCCCACACGAATTTTTAAAGAGTAATTTGACATCAGTGCTTGATTGGAATCTACAAAGCAATTTCAAGATTACCAGCCAGCCTCTTGAAAAATGCTTTTGGCTTTGCCAGAGTGAATTATTGAGGTTTTTAACTCTTACATGGACATGGATTGCTAATGATGAAAAGGAATAAAGTTGTGTGCAAAATTTACTGTGTAAACTTTTCAAATCTTTTGCAACCAAATCCCCCACCAAAAAAGCCTGTCTAACGTAGGTGGGTGGTGCTGGGCTTTTGGTGGCCACATCGTGTCTATCTTTAAATATTTATATGGGTGTATCTGCAGATTGAAACAATTCACGAAGAGCTGGGCGGCTTTTTTTTGTTGTTTGTTTGCTTTTTTTTTCGTTTTTTTTGTTTTGTTTTGTTTTGTTTTTTTAGCGCTAAAACTCACATTCGCGGCTATTTTAGCAATTAGCCCCGGCTCTTCCGCTACTCGAACCCCTCAAAACTACATCTCCCAGCATGCTCTAAAGCTGGTCTGACCTCATTTCAAATGGCCCCGTAGGGCAACAAGGATGGTTAGTTTTGACCGTGCTTATTTGTCCCATAAATTATCGATCCTAATTGGCAGTTATTTGGGCTTTTATATTTGCCGACCTCTCGTTTTTGTACCGTGGTCACTAAATGAAGGGCTTCTGGCCTGGGAGGGCCCATGTATTCTTTCAATTGGTTGGGGAGCTGGGACAGTGTCTCTGGCAATAACGAGAATAGGAGGGAATGTTGACCAGGGAGCACCGCTGCGGCCGTTCAGAGGAGCAGGAACAGGAGCCCGGGCTGAGTCTGAAAAAAGCCGGATCCAGAAGGTGGCTCCGGAACGGCTGGAATTGGAAGATGGAGGAGCCGGAGGAACCGGCGGACAGTGGGCAGTCGCTGCCTCCAGTGTACATCTACAGTCCCGAGTATGTCAGCATGTGCGACTCCCTGGCCAAAGTCCCCAAACGGGTAAGAGAGGTGGGGATAAAAGACCGTGGGCTTTTAGGGTGGGGGTGGGGGCTGTTGGACCGGACAGCATTAGGAAGCTGAGAGGATTCCGGGCTGGGGGAAATCTTCAGCAGAAATTTGGGCAGGTGTGCTAGGCTATGGAGGAAGTGTTCCCTTACAGTTTCTGAGAGCGCCGCATTTATCGTCGGGGCGTCCAACGCACCGGAGGGGGTAGGGGTGCGGGGGAGGGGATGGTACTAGGGGATGGTGGCTCCACTACAAGGGATCCCTGAAGTGGAGAAGACGCTGCAAGAGAAACGTTCCAACACCTCCGTGAGGCCCGGTGGCTTTCTCCTTAGCTATTTATATACTTTGTATCTATTTTGTCTAAAGTGCATTGCAACTGGTAAGTAAAAAGCGAGGGGAGTTAAAAGTTACTTTCTTTGTTCAGGATGATGAAGTCGATGGTATTTCTCTGAAATAAACATTGAAGAGACGTTTTTCTGCCTTTTTTTTTCTTTTTTGTTGATGCTTCTAGGCCAGTATGGTACATTCTTTGATTGAAGCATATGCACTGCATAAGCAAATGAGGTAAGTTGTCTTTCTTGAACCAAGCCCTGAAGCTAAGTGCTCCTTAGTATCCTACTTCACAGTGGACCTAATTAGGAAGAGAATAGTCCTTTCTTTCAAAGTTTTTTGCAATTCAGTGTTTGTAATCTGCCTGTAACCTAGTGAAAGCTCTTGAAGCATTAAGAAAACTTGAAAAAAGTACGGAAAGCAGTTAAGACCCATTAGAAATAAGATTCTATTACTGGAAGGGAAAGTAATCTAGGGATAGGTGCCCTGTGGAGATTTCAAGGTGAGTACCTTAGGGTACTAAAACCCATCTGATGGAAAAGAAATTTTATTCACCTGTGACATGTTCTGAGATTTCTATGTGTTTATTTCTAAGCCAAATCTGAGGGTGTGTGTTCAACTTAAGACTTTTAGACACCCCATCACTATCACCTAACTTTTACAATTAAGCCTGGAGACAAGTCAAGACCAAAGCAAAACTACAACCAAACCAGAACTCAGCACACACTTAAGTGTTGCTTTAAAAAAAAGAATGAACTTGCTGTTTATCATTATAAGAATGGATATTTTAGCCCTGTCACTTGTAGGATTATTTATGACATTGTCTGGCCAAATAGGTGAGTGTCTACTCTGACTTGTGTAGTATACTTCATTTATTCCCCCAGAAGGTAGTGTAATAGGCTTTCAAATTTTATCCTTATTATTAACAAAATCATTTACTGAGTACCTTTTTTTTTTTTTTTTTTTGCCCATATGTTTGGTAGACATGAGAACTATATGCCTTCCATCACAGTTACTTAACTTTTCCAAAAATTACTTTACAGGCACATGGGTGGTTTAAGCATCCAACTCTTGATTTCCACTCAGGTCATGATCTCACTGTTCGTGAGTTCGAGTGCCACATCAGGCTCCATGCTGACAGTGTGGAGCATGCTTGGGATTCTCTCTCTTTCTCTCTCTTTCTGCCCCTTCCATGTGTGCACGCTCTCTCTCTCTCTCTCTCTCAAATTAAATAAAATAAACATAAAGAATATTTTGAGACAAACAAGAAATCGATGTAAAGCAGAACTGTCCCATTCCCTTGCTATTAAGCAGAGAGGCTTTCTGTAAGTGTTTGTTAGATAAGAGGAAGGGCACTAGAAACCTTAGGGCAGGAAAACATGGTCCAAAAAACTGTAACATTTTTATTTTAATGCACAGATTTGTCATTTTCTTGAAGGAGAAGCAAGAGTCCTTATATCTTGGCCATGTATATGGAAATTTTTTGATATTTATTTATTTTTGAGAGACAGCATGTGGGGGAGGGGCAGAGACAGAGAGAGAGGATCCAAAGTGGGCTCCGTGCTGACATCTGTGAGCCTGATGCAGAGCTTGAACCATGAGATCATGACCCGAGCCGAAGTTGCACCCTTAATCAACTGAGCCACCCAGGCGCTACTATATATATTTAATTGTTGAGACTGAGCTACAGGATTCTTCTGGCCAGCTTGGTGACAGTACTAGCCTATACAGTCATATTAATTCATGAAAAAACCCATGGCTGAGTTCCCATTCAGCAAACAAAAAAAAAACCACTACTGCCTCCCTGTGGCGTAGGTCATCGCTTTTCCAACTTGAATGTACATATGAATCACCTTGTTAAATTCCGATTCTGTAGATCTAAGGTGGCGCTGAAGGCTGAAGTTCTGCCTGTCTGACAGGCTCCTAGGTGCTGCTGCTGCTGCTGCTGCTGCCGCCGCTGCCACCGCCGCCGCCGCCGCCACCACTGGTCCATAGACTACACTTTAAGGGGCAGTGGCAGAGTCAGGAAAAGAAATGGGGAATAGGCAGACAAGTTAAAGGTGGTAAGTCCGGTTGTTAGCTTAACACCACCCTGTATTCTGAGTCACTTCTATTTGTCACTTCCTGTGAGAGCTTCTGAGCAAAGTCCCTTCTCTTCTTCCTCTCAGAGGTGGATATGAGGGACCAAATATAGGAACTTTTATGTTTTGAGTTGCCTATTTGTTATCTGTTAGTATTAACAGTAATGATAGTCATCCACAAAGCATTTTCATATGTTATCATTTCATTTTCACATTAAGTCCCATAAGATCTCCCCACTTTACAGGTGAGGAAACTGAACTACAGAAGTCAATTTGCCTGAGGTTATGGAGCTGATAAGTACAGAATTAAGAAGAGGTGCTCAGTTCTCAACTCCAAATTCAAAATTCATGATAATAAAGTTGCCTATTAAAGTAAAATTAGGGGCAACTGGGTGGCTCAGTCAGTTAAGTGTCTGACTCTTGGTTTCGGCTAAGGTCATGATCTCACAGTTCATGGAATTGAGCCCCAAGTCAGGCTCTGTGCTGACAGTACAGAGTCTGCTTGGGATTCTCTCTCTCCGTCTCTCTCTGCCCCTCTCCTGTTCTCTCACTCGCTCTCTCAAAATAAATAAATAAACTTAAAAATTTTTTAAAGTAAAACTGTAGCTGAAAGGATTATATGTCCCAATTAGGAACTAATTCAAGTGCAAAGATCTCTGCCTACTAGTTTGTCATGGAAGTTGTAACTCACAGAGTGAAGTTTGTCCAATATCTGATTATTTCACTTAAATATAATCACTGGCTTTTTTTTTTACTACCTGTGAACTCAAGGAGATCTGTCCTCTCACCCCTTATTAGTGGAATCATTACAGAGATGTGAGGAAGTGAAGACTACATCAGTAAAGGAAGAGAACATGTTTATTATTTCAGCCCACTGGAACTGGGAGCTGGGAGTTGTATTTTCTGCTCAGACTGCTGGCTCCTGCTTCCAGTTTCTGGCATACTCTGGTTCTGACTCACTCACCTCTCTTTGTTCTCTGTTATTATTAGGATAGTTAAGCCCAAAGTAGCCTCCATGGAGGAGATGGCCACCTTCCACACTGATGCCTATCTGCAGCATCTCCAGAAGGTCAGCCAAGAAGGAGATGACGATCATCCAGACTCCGTAGAATACGGGCTAGGTAAAGTCATTACTGGGCAGTGATGGGAGGTAGACAACCTCCACCTATAAATTGTAACTACTTATTTTACAACTTGCATGAAAGTCTTTATTTTTTAATTAAAAACTAATGTGTTAACCACAATATTAATCTCTTAGCTTAAACACGTATCTCACTTAACAAGCAAACCATATGAGTTGAGCAAAACCAAATGACGGATTAGACGGAGGAAAATCTTTTAGTTGCTTAAGCCCAATAGCAGTGCCCACATTGGGTCTGGCTGTTAAAACTTGAGTACATGTTTATGTTCTGGATAAGTTTTCAACCCTATTTCACATTAAACAGCTGTATTTTTTTAAACTGTAGGTGGCCAATGGGATAGTCTAGAGAAATAGCATGGTTTAGTAGAACTCTGCTCTGGGAGATAGTGAGTCAAGGGACCTGGGTCCCAGACCTGGCTCTGTATGACCAAGATAAGCTATATCACCTCTCAGGACTCTGTTTCTCCATCTGTAGGGTGTGACTAGCTAATCTTGAAGATTTAGCCTTTCTAGGTCCAATGCTTTAAAAAAATTATTTCCCCAACTTTGGAGATGTTTGCTTCTCATTTGGAAGCTGATGTTACCACAGGAGCTTTTTGGTAAGATATGTTGTTGTCACATCTCAAGCTATTCCTCCTAATAGAGTTCCAGACCCACTTCGAATGTGTGGAGGTGGGACCTTCCTCCTACACCCCCAGTCAGTGCTCAGGACACTAGCTGGGTGTCCTACAATTCAACTCTGACACTATCTGCCTGGAGATAGCATCAGATCCCACAGGTTAAGGACTCAGTACCACAACACTGCTCTACTCTTTAGATACCAATCGCAAGCCCAGGTTGTTACCTGTGCTTCTGACTGGCCATAAATCAGACGTCCCCACAATCCCCTCTTTGGGTTTAATTTTCTAGAGCAGTGCACAGAACTCAGGGAACCCATTTAATCACTAGATTACTAGTTGCTTACAAAAGGATATGTATAACTCAGAATGGCCAGATGGAAGAGATGCATAGGGCAAGGTATGATGAGAGGATGTGGAGCTTCCATGCACTCTCCAGGCATACCAATCTCCCCACATCTCCATGTGTTCACCAAACCAGAAGCTCTCCCAGCCCTCCTTTTGGGTTTTAGGAGGCTCCGTTACATAGGCATGACTGATTAGATCATTGACCAATTGGTGATTGAACTCAATCTCCAGCCCCTTCCTCTCTCAGGAGGTCAGGGGATAGGACTGGTAGTTCCAACCTTCAATCACCTGATTTGCTCCACTGGCTACCAACCTCCATCCTTAGGTATGATCCACAGGTCACCTCATTAGTATCACAAAGACACCTTTATTGGTCTCATTGTTCAGGAAATTCCAACAGTTTTAGGAGCTCTGTGTCAGAAATGGAAATGAAGATCATGTATAAATATTTCTTATTATATAAACCACAGTATCACACCTCCTCTTTCTCCAATCCATCTTTTAACAAACTCTTCTGATGTTTGCCCAAAGGTTATGACTGTCCAGCCACTGAAGGGATATTTGACTACGCAGCAGCTGTAGGAGGGGCTACAATCACAGCTGCCCAATGCCTGATTGATGGAATGTGCAAAGTAGCAATTAACTGGTCCGGAGGGTGGCATCATGCAAAGAAGTAAGAAAATGACCTTTCTGCTTTCTGCCTCTTTCCTTGAGTCAGTTTCTCAGTTATGTAAACTCTTATGCTTATTGTATCAGCATTTATTGGGAGACTTGTGCATGCATATAGCACTTTACCAGGCATCCTGAAGAGATACAAGTGAAATAGAAGAAGATAGGACAATATAATGGAAACCACACCATTGAAAGGCAGGATACCTGGCCTCTATGCCTAGTTTTTCTACAAACTTGGCTAACTGACCTGGAAAGATTAACCTCTCTAAGCCTCAGTTTTTCCATCAGGAAAATGGGCAGGGCAAAGGATATAACTAGACAATCTCTACATTTCTTTCCAGCTTTTTGGAAATTCCCCTCACTTCAAGGGACTTATGCTCTAGAAACACTAACAAAATTAGAATAATTAGGGAGCAATATCAATTTTTTACCCACTGAATATATGTATGAGCTGAAGAGATTTAGCAGTATGGAGAAATTAATCATGGAAGTCTTGGAAGAGGTGAATTTTAGAACTAGTTCTGAAAGAAGTGGCAAACGGATTTTCAAACAGGTGGAAAATTAATGAGAATAGATTTAAAACAAAATGCTGAAGAATCAAGAAGGAAGCTCATGCTACCATCTCTAGGGATAGTGGCAACCAACTGAGAGAGTTCAGTGTCACTCTAAGGAGAAAGGGCTTCTGAAACAGCTGTTCTCAGGTGCATACTGTTGGCCATGACTTTGATACTCCTTGGTGCTCTGAAGTCCAGAGAAAATGGCACTTTGGTTTTCAGAATAAAACTGAGTACAACCTCAGCAGATGAAGATTAAGATACTAGTATGGAATTCATTTCATCAAATCAGCAGATTTTCTGTGTGACCAAGGAAGTCCTTGAGAAAATTTACTACTAGAATCTACTACTGAGGTGATGGCGCTAAGAGAACCAGTGTTTAATAAGGAGTTTTACATGGCCTTAAAAACAAAGAGAAACAGCTTACCTTTTGTTAGCTTTTGCTCTATTAAAAATTTTCAAAATAAAGACAGTGATTCCTAGGACAAAAAAAAAAAATGACCCTCCTTTAAACCACACATGAAAGGCAGAGTCGGGGGGGGGGGGGG